CTTGCTTGACTGCAGAGAAAATGTATGGCTGTACAAAGAAGTCTTGGAGTGATAGTGATTGTGAGTCAAATCAGAGTTCCATTCTACAAAGTTCCACTAGGGGAACAATGAGTTTTTTGTGCTTATTTACAAAGCATGAGTGAGGGGCTACAGGCAAGAGCACAGGTGACCCCAAAGCAGCAGCAGCTGCACTGGAAGATCTGCTCCCTAGTAAAGGCTTCCTCAAAGCCACATGATGGAGCCCCCCTCAACTGACTCGACTCTGTATTCTCTAGCCCCTCCCCAAGACCTCAGTTGCATACAAATAGGAATAGAGTCTTTAAACTCAGGTGAGGGTTCAATGACTCTCCCTAGATCCTTCTTCTGACCTCCACAGCATTATACAACATGGGCACACTCACAAATATGCAGGCAATACACTCATACACAAAATAAAAATAATAAATAATTTTTTTAATAAAATTTTTTTAAAAAAAGCTCTGAGAAGACCTGGCCAATTTTTTCATGAAAAAAGTTGGAAGAAACTTTTTTCATGAAAAAAAAGGAAGAAGTATGGGATATGTGCAGCTGTGCAAACATTAGTGATGTAGGATGTTCACCAGAGAGCATTCTGGGTAGGATGTTCACCAGAGAGCATTCTGGGTAGGATGTTCACCAGAGAGCATTCTGAGCAAGACTGTTCTTGAGTTCTGCATGATCCCTGAGGCTTCTGTGTAAATCTAAAATATTTCTCAGGTTAAAAGTACAAACATGAAGGAGAAGTAGAGTCAGTGACATGTGCAGAGAGAGTCAAACTCTCTCCAGCAGAATGCCAAGGACACTTTTTATCAATCCATCACCCATTAATATCACATATATTTTACCTTGGCACCAAAGAAGGGTTTGTTTGGGTGAATTAGCTAATTTGACTAAGTCTAAAGTATGTCTATCATATAAATAGATTCAAAGTAGCTTATCAATGAGGGGATGACTGTTTGGGTTGATGAATGTATGGATGAGGGCATTTTTGAACTTACCATAGCAAAAGCAAAAACTCCAAGTCAAATTAATGAAGAACCTTAAAAACGAAAATGTGGGTCATTTCAAAGCTGTAATTCTACCTGGTACCCAAAAATAGAACTGTTTCTGATAGACACTTCAAAAACAGGGTGTTGTTTCTCCATGATCTTGCTACATGAATATGTATATAGACATATACACTCACATGTCTATTGTGCATAGATGTATTTATATTAGTTATATAAAAATATGAAATATAGTCTAGAATATCTGTATATATAAATGGTATTTCTCTTTTATATGGATCATTATTTTATGTGTAACTTTACGGATTAAAAAGTCTTACTTTACTTGCATAACTAAAGCTAAAATCTGAAAAGAATTCTTCATCAAAATGAGACTGGCTATGTCAATTTGCTAAGGAATACATTGTAGAAGTGTTTGCCAGTCTTTATAACCTATAGCTTTCTGTTTATTGTGCCTTCTATTTGAGACTCAAAATATACCAAATCTCCATTTCCTGGGACTCACATGAATGCTGGTGATTTATCAAAAGGTGACAAAGCGCGCACCTCTCTGATTGTACTGTTTTCAGTATTGAGTTGATGACAACAATCACTGATCTCTTTCTAAGATTGAAGTAAATACACTTGTTGTTAAATTTTTCTTACTATCAAGACATTTTTTTCCTTATTGCTAGCAAAGGCATTAACATCTAGTCATTTTCAATATGAATGTTTAGCAAATAACCATATTTTGCCACCCAGGTAACAGACAGAAGAAAGTGTGCCATCTTGGCCGGGTTCTTCAGCCTTCATCCCCTTGGCACAAGGCTGTCAGTTGTCGTCAGTGTGGCAAAATGGATAAATTCTTCCCTTCCCATTATTTCTACAACTTTTTCTTAATAAAATGGCTTTCACAAGGGACCAGAATAATAGCATTCAATAATAATAATAATAATAATAATAATAATAATAATAGATGTAAACCAAATCCTGGTGGGCACTGTGTCAATAGTTATGAAGTATTTTCTCAAAACATCTTATAAGATATATACTATTAGCTTCAGTTTATAAATAAAATATTTGCTGAAGTTTAATCACTCAGGAAGTAGTTAGTTCTCAACCCTATTAAAACCAATAAACCATATTTTATATAAAATTGTTCATAATGGCCTATTGTATGCCTAAATCAGCACATTGTTTAATCTACCTATTGATACACAGATCTATATGTGTAAGAAGAAATATTTTTAACTGTAATATAAAGAACAAATAAAAGTTTGTTAATATCTATTTTAAAATGCATCTGACACACCCAGAATACATTATTTAGAAATTAGGCTTCTAAAACTGTTGATAGAATCAATAAGAATGCTAACAATTCAAATGTAATCAGGTTTATCCCAGCACTCTAGAGGCAGAGATAGTGTGAGATCAAGGCCAGCCTGGTCTACATAGTGAGTTCTGGATCAGTCAGGGCTACATAGTGAGGCCCTGTCTCAACAACAATAACAACAAAGAAAAACCATTTGATTGAAATGCTGAACAGGTGGTTTGTTTGGGGGAGTTGTTTTTGCTTTTAGACAAGCTCTTCCTATGTAGCCTAAGCTGGCCTCCTCATCTTACCCAGACCTTCACGGTACTGGGATTAGAGGTACACACCACCATGCTTGGGTCTTTGAGTGGTCCTATTATATTGGTGATTTAATCTCTCAAAATGTAAGAGATTTTGTTTCTTTATTGAAGTTCTGAACAGCATCTACAATAAATAAATTTCCAGAGATTAACAATTGGCTTCCTGCTTGTTAAGAAATTTAATTGTGTGGTAAAACATACAGGAAACTGAGATTTTTTTTTTTATGTGAAAGAGTTATGTACTTAGCTGAGATAATTACCAATGAACCATTTTAACTCATATACATTGGCCTGCCCATGACAGGCATCTGAATCTTTGGCCTAGATCACTCAATACTAATCATGCCTCAGAGTTAGTAACAATACAAAGTGCCCCAGTTATTGCTGAAGTGCTCTGGTCTGAAGCCTCCTATATTAAGTCAAAACCATGAGCTACAATTTGCACATGGGCTTATTGTACTCAAAATATTTTCCTTACATGCATTGTACAGTCTTGCCTCAAAGGTTAATTGGAAGCACATCACATTGTGAGGAGTTCTTAAATAAATGTTGCTCCATGAACTCATTTTGTAGTCTAATAAAACATGAATGCCTTCAAATTTCAGTGGACTATTAATGCATAAAATAAAAAACAAGAACTGAGAAGCATGTCAATTATCTTGAAATATAGTTTTATTAGAATACAGATTGAAGTAATGTTTTAAGTGTCTTTATACTTTGGATGTTATATATAAATATCTGTCTTAATTTTTTAAATTTTGTTTTATGTGTATGAGTACTGTACCTGCGTGTATGTAAGTGAACACATGTGCAATGTCTGTGAAGAAGAGAAGAGGTCATTGGAGCCTCTGGAACTGGAGTTACAGATGGTTGAAAGCCACCATGCGGGGGCTGGAAACGCAACCTGGGTTCTTTGCAAGAGCAGCCAGTGCCCTTAACTGCTGAGCCATTTCTCCAGCCCCAATATCTGTCATTTTGTTGGTGACAAAATACTCCTGTGATTTGTTGCCTGTAAGGAAAATTGGAAAACAGATTAAAATCGTTTTCATTTTGTTTTCAAATCAAAGTTCAGGGATGCCCAGAACTCATCTACAAAATCCATGTTCAGGGTTCCTGTGTTAGAGTTGAATACATGCCTGAAGTCTTTTGGGGAGCATAGGGTTAATCATGGCTAGCTTAGTCAATAAGTTTGAGAGAAAGTGATAAAGAGCAGGTGATGAGCTGACGCGGTTAGTTTAGAGACAGAGAAACATCAGAGCCCACCAAATGTGCAGGGTTGGGGAAGAACATCAGACATGTGGGCAGTACTGAGAAGTTTGCCTAAACAACAAAGAAGGAGGAAGCAGAAAGCGGGGACAGACTAGAGCATGTGGGTTACTCCTAAAATCAGAAGGATCTTTCTCTAATTTGATTTCACAGTGTCTTCTGAACATGCTTAGTGCTATGGTTTGGATGTGAAATATCTCACAAAAAAGGTCCATGTGTGGGGTATTTGTTCCTCAGGCAGTGGCTTTATTGAGAAGCAACTGGATCAGGAAAGCACTGTCATCATAAATGTATCAGTATGTCCATGAGCTCATAGCTCGACGAGCATTGATAGTAGAACATGGGGCATGGTTAGAAGACATAGGTCAATGGGGACACGCATTTGAAGGGTTTATCTTGTCCCCATCGTCTTTTCCCTCTCCTATTCTCTCTCTTTTCCCTACCTCTTCCTTCTCCACAAAATGATGTTCTCTCTCCCTCATTTCAGCCAAAGCAGCTGGGAGCCAACATGGACTTAAACCAGTGCTACCAGAAGCCAAAAATTCATTTTTCCTCCTTTTAATTTTTCTTTTTAAGACACAGAAAACAAACTAACACATTGAAATGATTAACTAATAAGCTAATAATTAGTAATAATTAGCACTAATAAGCATTGTAGCAAATGCTATACGCTGTCTATCATTTTATACTCTGCCCACCTTCTGAATGTCTATTGCAATAAAATTAGCATTATGTTTCTGATGAGAAATTTCCAGAGCATGGATATGTTGTCCTAGAAAATGTTGCAAATAGAAAAAGTGGCACAAGTGACAATACAGGATCCAAGATCTCTGATGCATATTTGACTGTTGTCTCAGCTAAAGGAAATAGAATGGAATGCGGTGGACTTTCACCTCATTGGCCCTGCTTGGTCTCACTTTTCTTCAGTATGCCTGCATTAGCTGTCTGTAGCATCTCCACTGGGATGTGCCATGGGGGAATCTCATCTGATGCAATGGGGATCCCTTTACGAATTAGACAGGTTTGTAGTCAGTTTCGGATGCCACCCACTACTGAGAACAGTTGTAGATGTTGCTAACTTTGTACATTTGTTCTCAGTGAGTGTCATAACTCCACGGATCGGATCAAGGTCAGAGTGTGGGACGAAGATGACGACATTAAGTCCAGAGTCAAGCAGCATTTTAAAAAAGAGTCAGATGACTTTCTGGGACAAACAATTGTGGAAGTGAGGACTCTGAGTGGGGAGATGGATGTCTGGTACAACTTGGGTAAGTCTCGCCACAGCTCCTTAAAACAAGTTAGAATGCAAGAGTATCTGTGACATGCATTGCATTCTTCTATTGCTAAAAATAACAAGTGCCTTTCTAGATCATTCTGTTGTTAGTGTCATTGATGACAGAGGGTAGTTTGTTTCTCAAATTTAATGTTATTGAAAGGCATCATCAAATCTGGGATGAGAATTAAAAAAAAAACAACAACAGGGGCCTGGAGAGATGACTCATCAGTTAAGCGCACTGACCACTCTTGCAGAAGACCTGGGTTCAGTTCCCAGCACCCACATGGCAGCTGACACCCATCCGGAGCTGCAGTTCCAGGAAATCTGACACCATTTCCTAACCTCTTCGGCATTGCACAACACAGGTGCACTTACATACATGCAGACAATACACTCATACACATTTAAGAAAAAAAAAGACAACTGCAAGTCTTTTCAGAGAAAAGTGTTGTACCATTTTTGATTTTAGATCTTTAACAGATCACCTCAGAAATATTTGTCTGATGTTTGGGAGAATGTAGCCAGCTTATGACTCAATGGCTTTGATTTGTTTCCTTCTGGTTTGTTAATGAAATTTCAACAATGAAAATGTAGTAGAAGAGTCTTTCAGATGATGACATAAAAGAAGACTCTCATTGGCAAAGCCCAGTGTTCATGTTGAGTTAAAAAGGGTTCTGGCACAGAACATGTAAAGAACAGATTTAACTGATGTGAAGTTTAAATGGAATTTTCTTATCAAAACAAGAATAAGAAAAGTTTGAATTTGACTTTTACTAGAATTGAAAATCTAGAGTCTTTGTTGATAATTTAATAATAGCAAATATTTATAGTTAGCCCACTTTCCATTAAAGACATGGTCCAAAGATTTCTTAATGACATTGTGTGAGATGTTTAATTAAATTATGGTGTGGGCTGGATGGTCACGAATCCAATAGAAGCTGACATAGTCCCAGGGTTGGAAAAACTCACTACTAGGTTAAGAACATACTTCAGCAACTTAAAGAGGGTTTGGCTTTTTTTAAAACCTACAAACTTTGAGTAATATAGTCACCAAAATGAAGTCTCATTGACTTAATGAAACTCAAAATTATGTAATAAATTTAAGAAACAGGAAATTTAGCTTAATCTAGACACAAATGATTCCAGCTACATTAACAACTCATTACCAAAAGTAGTTTAAGAAATCTTCATTAATGAACATTGATGTTTCTACATTATTGGAGTATAAGTTTCAACATAAGTTAAAACTATCACATCTTGCTTAAATTATTAAGTACTTTCATACATGAAAACTAAGATGTTAGAGGGAGAAAAATTTAGCTCCTTAACTGTGGTATATTCAAACCTCATTTTAATTAAATGGGATTGCTTTTGCAAGTGTTTCTCACTATAATAAGTTAGCAGACGCTTGAGTTGAAGCAGTACAGTTATGAGTCAGAAAAGACATTCTTTAGTTTCTTTTGATGAAGCAGATCTGGTTATGTCTGGTTTGTGAGGAACTTGGTTGTGTTCCTGGTAAAATCAGCTGTTCACCTTTCATTCCCAAACTGTCCTTCAATCTACGAAAGGAAAATAGGGTGCAACACAACACTGTAAAGCTTTGATGATGCACCCTAGGTTGCTCAGTTGGTCCTTTGGTCCCCTAATTTCTGATATTTGACTTCAGGGAGAGAAGAAGAGGGAAGGAGTGAAGAAAGGAGGGATGGTAGGAAGAAGGAGGATAGAGAGGGAAGAAGAGAAAGAGACAGAGACGCAGTAAGCCTTTGTTAGCTTTGTAAAATCCCTCAGTATGTTCAACCCCCACAGACAACATACTCCATCCTTGAACAACTTTCCTCTTCCTCATGACATAGAATTCATCACACTACACAAATAGCACTTGCTCCAAAGCACTGTGCACTCAGCAGTGTGAGGTCCGTGAATTTGTCAGGTGGTGACAGCTCAAAATGCCCCTGGAGCTCTGGAAAAAGAGACGCAGGCAGTAAGAAAATCCCAGGTTTTGTATTTCTCTCATCCCTAGCAGAGAACTCCATAAATGTTGAGAATAAAATGTTTTTCAGCCAGACCTGGTCATCCACACCTGTAATTCCATTTACTCCGAATGCAGAGGCAGGAGGATCATGATCAAGACCTTCTTGCGCAGCTTAGCAAGGCCCTGACTCAAATTTAGAAGAGAGAAATTGGTTGCAGGGGGGGATAGCTTAGCAAGTTGAGGCCCTGGGTTCAACCCCCAATGCTGAGAAAAGAATGGGGTTTTCTTAGCCAGTCAGTGAAACTGTGTTGGTTATAATGCTGCTAAGGAAGGAATCTTCACAACTCTGCCTGCTAAGCAGTAAAGATGACAGAAGTCAGCAGGCATTCCACAAAACTAAGGTTAAGTTTCTGGTGGCCAAAACTATAGCTATGTTTAGAAAGAGGTCTCCCATCCTAGCTTTGTGGGTTTTACATAGCTCCTGTTTTCCTTGTGGAAGGGGCGATCTCACCCCCATGCATTTTCTCCCTGAAATGGATGCAAAACTTGGGTCCCACCCACATTTATAATCTGGGAACCATGTTCCTGCATTTCTCCCAAAGCTCTGCTCAGTGTGCATCATTCTCACCACCCCTCACACACAGTTATTGATCGAATTGATTATATTTTTATTCCACCCAAATAATTCATGTAGCATTTATGAGTAAACATAGACTATAGATGGACGATATGGAAACCAATTTCATCTTCATTGTTGTTAACCAGAACTTGGTTCGTCTTTGGAAGTTCAGAAAGAAAGAAGTGAGCAGTAGATTTAAATGAAATACTTTCCTGGTTAATTTTATACAATAATCGTACTTCTAATTTCACGTGATGTGTTTGGTTTTACTGTGTAACTGACCAGGTGTAGGCATTTACATGGTAGTCTTCAGAATATTCTATTTGAACTGTGGATAGGCAGTTTAACCATAACAAGGGCACAACAGGTGAACATTGTATTTGGGGGAATGATGGTTATTTAGTCACATGTGAAATAGGAAAAAAAAAAAAGAATATTATCTAGGTAAGCTTTATTTCGGGTATTTGTGTGGGTAATTTAGATTTCTTTACATTAATCAAATTTTTTAGGTAATTTCACATATGTACACAATACATACTGACATTCTCACCCCCCACCTCCCTGCCAGCCACCTCATCAGCATAACTTCTTCCAACAAATCTCTTTCCTATTGGTATTTATATTTTTTAATTTTTATTTTATGTGTATGAGTGTATTGCCTGCATGTATGTGAGTGCACCTGTGTCGTGCAGTGCTGCGCAGGTCAGAAGAAGGCTTCGGATTCCCCTGGAACTGGAGTTAAGGACAGTTCGTAGCTGCCACGTGGTGCTGAGAATCGAATCCGGGTCTTCTGCAAGTTCAGTCAGTGCTCTTAACCACTGAGCCATCTCTCCAGCCCCAATATATTTTTATATTTTGTGAACCACTAAGAAGATTAACCAGGCCTATGTGTGTGCCTGTGCTTGGAGCTATCCTCTAGAATAGACTCAGAAGTAGATAAACAGTTAAAGACAGGGTTCCCCTTCTCCAGAGTCATCAGTAGCCAATAGTTCAGAGGTAGAGGGGTAGGCCTCCTGAGCCCCTCCCCCTTCCTTGCCTGATTGCTCATAGGGCCAGTCTTGTTCTTAAATGTGTATGAGTGTTTTGCCTACATGTATGTACATACATCTGTGTCATGCAATGCCCACAGAGGCCAGAAGAGGGCATTGGATCCCCTAGAACTGGAGTTACAGATGGTTGTTAGCTGCCATGTGGTGCTGGGGACTAAACTCAGGTCCTCTGGAAGAGTAGCCAGTACTCTTGAAGTACTGAGCCATCTCTCCAGACCCAAGGACCAGTCTTGTGTGGGTCCAGTGTGGGTAACTACAGTTGTGAGTTAATACATTTGGAATCTTGAATGAAAATTATGCTATGGTTGGAAAACTGACCAAATACATTTTTGCTGTCTCTCAGAAAAACGGACAGATAAGTCAGCTGTATCTGGGGCCATTCGACTGAAAATCAATGTGGAAATAAAAGGAGAGGAGAAGGTTGCACCCTACCACATACAGTACACCTGCTTACATGAGGTAAATGAATAGGATTTTATGATAAATAAAACTTAGAAAATAAAACAGGCTTACTGTGAATCATAAAACAATGTATCAGGTTTTTGAAATCATGGAATTGGGTTTGTGGAGTTGTTCTTGGAGTTCTGACTATATACAGTAGAAAGTGGTGTGCTCAGGTATGAAAACATGGGAAGTTTTCCCTTTAATGAGAGTTTAGAATAAGCCCACGAGGCAGGTAACATGGGGCCAACTCCCCAGCTCCCCCTTTTCTCCTCAGTGTAGAGAAGCTGACTAGTTGGCCTGGGCTTCCATTGCGAGCTCTGCACTGGAGAGGGTACTAAGAAGTGTGGATGAAGGCTCTTTCTTTGCTGCAAATGATTTGCCATTTACCCAAAAGGAGGAGACAAAGCTGAGACATGTTCCTTGCCACATGCTCAGAGAGAGAGAGAGAGAGAGAGAGAGAGAGAGAGAGAGAGAGAGCTCTTGTTAGTGGTTTTGGTGTCTTGCAAGTTCATAAAACTTAATCCTGGAAAGCTGTTGAAAGTTAGTTTCATTTTTGGTTGCTGTGACATAAAAATCCCAGGTCACAGTCCATCAACTGGGGGATGTCAAAGAGCCAGGAGGAGCTTGAAGCAAACAGTCACACCCAAAGTCAAAGGAGAGCATGAATGGATGCTTGTCTGTGCTCACTTGCTCTTGTCCTTCACTCAGCCCAGGTCCCAGCCCAGGAAATGGTGCCAGCCACATTCAGGGTGGGTCTTCCACCTCAACTAACCCACTTAAGACAGCTGTCCACAGATACCCACAGATGAATCTAATCTGATTCCTCACTGATACTCTCTTTCCAGGTGATTCTACCTTGTGTCAAGTTGACAGTTAAAATTCACCATCAGAATAGCTTTGTATGTCATTTTTCCTAAATACATCTATGGAAATTCATGCTCTAAACACACGACAAGTGTAAATATTTGCACACATTTTCCTAAACAAGAAATGAAGAACAGCTTTCCAGTAATTTACACAGTAATTATACACAGAATTTGTGCTTAGTTTTACAACTCATCTAGTCATTAATGTTGTTCCTTCAAGAAACATTCCATTTTTCAGAATAATAAAAAGCAGCACCCTCCCCCCGCAACGTGACCAGGAGCTCTGGCCCTGAAACCTTGGCAGAGAAAATTTAGGAACTATGCTTCAATTTCCAGAGTCTTCTCTGCTGGTTCAGGGGTTAGAAAGAGGGCTGGTGAGATTGCTCAGTGGGTAAAGGTGATTGCTTCCCAGACCTAGTTCTACATGGTGGAAGAAGAGAACTGACTCTCACAAGTTGTACTCTAAGTGCCATATGGAAGGTAACACACACACACACACACACACACACAATAAATAAATAA